GCAGTGTGGGTTGGTGTTTTTTTTTTTTTTACAAAGTCCTTCATTAATAAGGGAACTAAAGAATTTCCAAGCTGTCTGTAATTTTTCCCAGATGCAGCTGGTAGTTGCTAGGAGTATCTTTTTGGCAATCTGAGTTTTTGGCTATTAACAATCTGGACTTTCTCTGCACTACCCCGGTGTCAAATATGTTCTGTGAATGCTGTAGTGTGGAGTGTGAACTGGGGAAGGCAGAGCACAGGCAAAGCAAAATCATTTTTAGAAGAATAAACACTGCTGGGATTAGCAGCTGATTGGAATGAGCACAACTCCCTGCGGGGATGCCCATGATTAGCAGCCCAGGAGCCCAGCTCGCCCAGAGCCAGTGCTGCTGCAGAGCTCACTCCTCACTCCAATCCTTTCTGGCCCTCCCAGCTTTTCTCCCTGGCACAGACAAGCCCTGGGGTGAGTCTGTGCCAGACCCAGAGCACAGCAGCACCCAGGTCCCACCAGAGAAACCAAATCATCTCTTGACTTCATGCTCAGGATGCTTTCTGAGGCTGCTTGTAAAGACGCGACGCTGTCGTTGGCAAAGCCATGGCACGCACCAGGAGAAAGACATCTACCCCTTCTCACCTAAATATCATCAGTTCTTTCTTTTGACTGCAGGTCTGTTCATCTTGGAAACTCATGGGATGTGCTTTGCAGAAGTAGAACACCACTACATGGTCATGCTGCAGCTGTGGAAAGGAAAAAGGGAAAGCAGTGAAGTGACTGACATGCAGGAGAACCTGGGGGTCTTTCCACTCAGGTACATCCCTTTCTCAAAGAAACCCTGCTCAGATGTGAGGTTTGTGTCTTAGTCTTTAAGCCCTTAGAACTACTACAAGATGATAATTTCTTTTTTTTTTACACTGATCCTTTCAGTGCTGGAATCAGCCCTGGTCGCTGCCTGGCTGGTGGCCAAGCCACTCAGAGCCCAGACTGACCACAGAAGTCGTGGTCTTCAGCTCAAGAGGGGAAACAGGGAAGATGCAACTAAATTAGTAATGAGAAAATAATAAAGAATGATGAAAAACAGTGAAACAAGCTCGTTTCTCCAGGGACAGGAAGGGCAAGCCACAAACATACAGACACAGACATATAAAACCATGACAGGGACTTACAGTGGGTGCACAGTTGATGTACAGCTGATGCAAGTCCCACAGTTGCAGTGAGGGACATTAAGCCAACAGAAAAATAAACTTTTGGTGAAAAATGGGCAATTTCAGGCATCTTGGGTTGCATGAAACTGTCTGTCCCAACTGGCACAGGACATGACTCTTCCCACTGGAGCACCAGGACTCTTCTCAACACCCTAGTTGTTGCCTCCTTCGCTCACAGTCCCCAGGAACAGCCTGTAAAGCATCCATGGATTGCACAGGCAGGAGAGAGAGAAAGGATGTGTTGTCCCTTCCCAGGACTGGAACCTGGGAAAACACCCCAGAAACCTTTCCCGGCCCTGGCCAAGACAGGGATAAGCACAGTGCAAAGGTTTTTTTTCCACTTTATTTTCCACCATCCCCAGATCCCACGGGACAGAACCAACCCTTGGCATAGCCTCCTACCACGGGCCGAGCCAGATTAAACACACACCTTTCAGCCCAAGACAAAGGTCTTTGAGGCAAGACTGTGGAAAGAAAAAAAAAAATAAAATAAAATAAAAAAATTTAAAAAAAACCCCAAACAAAAATTCAGGAGAGCTGTCGTGAACGATTTGCATATTTGAATATGCAAATAAGATCTGTTTCTTATCCATTGGCACTGGCCCTACTGTAGATGGCAGCAGCACAGCGGATCTCTGCCAGCATCCAGTGCCACAAAGAAAGACGCTAATTGGATTTGCAGACGCTTATTGCAAAGCCCAGAAGTTGCTGGAATAGGTATAAAGAAGCGGGAGCTCAGCCCACAGCTGCCTCGGGTGCGAAGGCACTCAGCTGACAGCTCGTTAGCTTGAGATCTCCCTGCAAAATTAGAAGCTGGGAGAAGCCTGGGTAGATGGCTGCTGGCTCCAGCATCCCCAGCACCCAAAGCTCCCAACACACACCCCCCCTCTTAGAGCCTGGCAAATTTTCTACCCTTGGCTGCGATTTTTTTTTTTTTCTTTTTGAGGGGAGCTTGAAAAGAAAAAGGGGGGTAAGTTTGATCAGTCATTGTGCTGGAAACTGTTCAGGCTGGGAACTGCTAGTGGAGCAAAGGCTGGTTCTAGGAATTTCTCTCCTTGAGTGTTTTCGCAGTTGAATGTAAAGAGCCACCCCAGCACATTTTAAATTAATCCATTCATGCCACTTCACGGAATATCCTGAGCTGGAAGGGATCCACGAGGATCAGCAAAGTCCAACTCCAAACTGCTTGTCCCAGCAGAGAGCCCTGGGGTGTTTGGAGCAGGCAACGATACAATGAGGTGCTTACCCTGAACGGGCCACCCCAAATTCTTCAGTGTAATGTGGTTTAACGTCCTTGTATTGGGCTGCCAATGTGGAAGCTGAAGCTCCTGGCTCTGGGTTTCCATTTTGGAGGCATCCAAATTCTTGCTTGGATCCCTCCCCAGGCCATGGAGCAGCTGAAAGCTGAAGGAGTGCCCCATGTCCAAACCAGAAGCAAAGACGGGGCCTGCACCGGGAGAGCACAAAAACAACCATTAACACCAGGCTGGGCAAAAACAAAGGCACGGAAAAATTGCCACTGGTGGAAATTAAAATAAGAAGCTGATTTTAATGATGTTGCAGAAAAAGTAACAGGCAATTTTTTCAGGAAGAAAGCTCAGGGTCTGGTGTATTTCTTGCGCAAAGGGGAAATTCAGCAGAGAGAGAGCAGAGTCAAAGTTGGGAAAGGTGGAGATATTTCCAGAAAATATTCAGCCCTGGGAGCACGTAACCACCAAGGGCTGTGATGAGGCTGGGAGTGAATAGCCAGTATTGGGAGGTAGAAAATAAAAAGATTTAGACCCAAGAGTCACGTGCATGGGAATAATGTCCACAATTAAAGATATCAATGAGAACTCCCAGAGAAAGAGGCCCTGTCTCAATGGAGAAGAAAAGGGACTGTCCAAGGAGATGTCTCTTGGGACTGCATCAGACAGAAACATGGAAAATTAAAACAGGAGCACTTAAAGGAACCCAAATCAGGCTCATTTTGTTGTTGTTGTTGTTAACTGAAGCGATTAAGCATTTTGCTCTGCTAATATCCTCTATCAGGTTGATGAGGTAAAGTGGCTCTTTAGAACGATTTGGGAGCCGATTAATCCTCGCCTGTGGCGATCAGGCAGCGACACACAGAGTTATTGGCTAACACGGGGGGTTTCTGCTGCCTCACACAGATCAACAAACTGTCTGAAACAAGAAAGTTGCGTGAAGGAAAAGAAATTCCGGAGCGAACTTGCTCAGAAACAGTCACCGATTGCACTTGTAAAGATAGGGGCTGGCAAAATGGAGCCCAATAAGTTGTCACTTAGAGATGTAAGAAAAGGTAAAACTCTCCCCGGGCGGGAAAGCGGCAAAGGGGGAGAGAGGGGGGAGAGGGGGAAGACGGGAAGGGAACTGAGGGGGAATGAGGGGAACGGAGGGACAAAGGGGAGAAAGGAGGGAAATTAAGGGGAAATGGGAACCCAGAAGAAATGTGGGAGACTGAGGGGGAAAAGGAGAGAAAGTGAGGGAGAAAATAAGGGAAACAGAGAGGAAAAATGTGGGAGACCGAGGGGGGAAATCAGGGAAATGAGGGAGACTGAGGAGAAAATATGGGAGGCTGAGGGGGAAAGGAGAGAAACAGAAAGAAGATGAGGGAGACAGGGGAAAAGTGAGGGAGACAGAGGGGAAAAAGGAGAGAAACAGGGGGAAAATACGGGAGACTGAAGGGAAAAACAGAAACTGAGTGGAAATGAGGGAGACTGAGGAAAAATATGGAGACTGGCAGGAAAGGAGAAAAACTGAGTGGGGGGGAAGAGAGAAACAAAAAGGTGACTGAGGGGAGGAATGAGAGCAAAGGTGGGAAAGTGAAGGAAAAATGGAAAATGAGGGAGTCGGGGGGGGGGGTATGGAAATGAAAGAGACTGAGGGAAAAAATTAGAGGCCAAAGGGAAAAGGAGAGAAACTGAGGGGGAAAGGAGAAAACTAGAGAGAAAATGAGGGAGACAAAGGGGGAAATGGAAACTGAGTTGGTTGTGCACTTGGAGGGACACCCTGGGGTGCGGAATTGGGGCCAGAACCCAAAAGGGCACCAGGGCTCAGAGGAGCTGCCTCAGAACCTCTGGGTGGGCTGGGCGAACAACGAGGCCCAGACGCCTGATCCCGGTGTTGGTTGGGCATTTCAAGGGACACCCTGGGGGACACAACCCGGGGGCTGAACCCAGAAGGGCACCGGGCGCTGAGAAGCCCCTTCAGCGGTTGGCGGAGGGGTCGGAGGGGAGGGGGCCAGGTGGGCGAACGAGGCCCAAACGCCCGATCCCGGTGTTGGCCGTACACTTCGTGCGAACACCTTGGAGGAACAGCACTGGTGACAGAACTGAGAAGGACACTTTACGAGCCACGAACCCCGCTCAGCTCCTCACCCGGCTCTGAGGGGCACTCTGGCGGGGCCGCCAGACCCCGCTCGCCCCACAGCGCAGGCCCCGCCCCTTTCCCCGCCCACTCCCCCTCAGCGAGCCCTCCCATTGGTCAGAACGGTTGCCCATCAGGCGGAGGGGGCGGTGCCGCTCGCGGCTCGCGGGCATTGGCTTCCCCCCCCCCCCCGCCTTCCCCGCCATGGCGGCCGTGAGGCGGTTTCCGGTTCCGCGGGGCGGGCGCGGGGCTGGCGCTGCGCTGTGAGTGACACACAATGAGGCGGGCGGCGGGGCCGTGAGGGGCCGCGACCGAGCAGGCGGCGGCCGAGGAGGCGGCGGCGGCGGCGGCGGTGGCGGGGAGGGGGGTGGGGGGGGAAAGAAACCGGGCGCGAGAGCGCGGAGAGAGAGGGTTGCGGGGCTTTTTTTTTTATTCCTCCCCCCCCTCTCCCTCCCTCCCTCTCCCTCCCTCTCTCTCTCTCTCTCTCTCTCTGTGTGTCTCTCTCCCCCTTCCCCTCGCCGCGCGCGCTCCGCCGACCGGGCAGCGCAGACCGAGCGAGCGGGGCCCGCGGCGCTGCCGTGCCCAGCCATGGACAATCAGGTGAGGAGCGGAGCGGTCGCGCCGCGCTGAGGGAGGGCTGGGGCGGTGCCATTCCCCTCCCAGCCCCCCCCCTCCCCATTTCAGGGAGGGGGCCACGGAGGAGAGGGCCCCCCCTCACCCACACCCCGAGGAGGGGGTGCTGCGGGGGGGGGGGCACCCCCGTGTTCGGGATTTCCCCTCCCCGGGGTGTTAGGGGGGCGTTGGGGGGGGGGGGGGGCACATCTCGTTAATCTCATGGTGGGGGGGACACACACATCTTTTCCCCAACCCCCATTTGTGGGAGGGGGGGCACATGTTCTGCTCAATCCCGTTGGGGAGGGGGACGTGTTTTCCCCAGCACCCATTTGAGGGGGGAGACACACACACCTCCTCCCAAATCCCATTGAGGAGGGGGATATGTGTTCCCTACCCACCCCCCATTTGGGGGCGGACATCTTGTCCTCAGTCACATTTGAGGGGGTACATGTCCTCCCCAATGCCATTGGGGAGGGGGGTTACGTTTTCCCCACCTCTCATTTGGGGGGGGATATCTTGTCCTCAGATACATTTGGGAGGGCACATCTGTTCTCCACTTCCACTGGGGAGGGGGATGTGTTTTCCCCGCCCAACCCCATTTGGGTGGGGGGATATCTTGTCCTCAATCAGATTTGGGGGATGCAGCTTCTCCCCACACTGCCTTTGAGGGGGGCACACCTCCTCCATGCCCCTGCAAATAGGGGGTACATGTCCTACTCACAGCCCTTTGAGGGGGATACCTCCTTCCTGCACTCCTTTGGGGGGCCACACTTGCTCCTCAGACATCTTCTCCTTGTACTCCTCTGAGGGGCACATCTCCCCTCTCCAACCCTCTCTGGGGGAACACATTCTCTCCCCAGTCCCATTTGGGGGGCACACTTCTTTGTAGGGTCACACCTTCTCCACACCCTCCATTTGGAGGAGGGTCACACCTCCTCCCCACAACCCTTTTGGGGGATGGAGGGGGGGGCAGATCTCCTGAAGCCCATTTGAGGGGGGTACACCTCCTTCCCACCACCCATTTTTTGGGGGACATCTCCCCACTCACCCCTTTGGGGGTTGCACACCTCCTCCCCACCACCCATTTGAGGGACACGTTTCCTCCTCATTCCCCATTTTGGGGTCACATCTCCCCATACCTCCTTTTAGGGGCATCACACCTCCTCCCCATCCCCTATTTGAGGGGGCTCTCACCCCTCTCCCCTCCATGGGCAACCGCCGCAGCCTCTCCCGCAGCGGGGAGAGGGGGTGGCAGCAGCAATTCCCACAAATTCCTACCCGGGATTATTGACAGCGAGGGAGGTGCCGGCCGTGCGACCCCCCCCCCGGAGCCGCGGCGGGAATGGTTAATGCCACCGGCAAGGGTTGATGCCAGCGGGATTTTGCTCCAGGATGGATGCTGGAAGTTTACCTGAGGTGATGTGGATGTGTGGGAGCCTTTTGTGTGCGTGGGTAACAGGTACCTCCCGGGCTGAGGATCGGGAATGAGCCCCGCTATCCCGGATAATCACCCGGAGGAGCGGGAATGGGAGCCGCTCGATGGCTTTCAGGCAATTAGCACATCAAACAAAAACCGGAGCAGCCTTCAGAATGTTTACTGAGAAGTTGAAAGCGGGCTCCTTTGTATTATTACAAATTGTTTGAATAGGATCCTGATTTCCCTTTGTTGGGAGACACGCTTGGAAATAAAAAGGGGAAAAAAAAAAAACCTGCATTTTTCAGCGGAGCAACTTTGGATGTTGGTTATGTGGGGAGATCTTATTTTCAAACGCGTTTCAACTTCTGGCTTAATTCTCAGCGATTGTTAATTGGAGCGGGGTGCGAGGAGTGCAGCGAGTACGACTTTCGCTCTCAGTTAAACACTTCTCATTTCTGTTTAATTTCGGTCTCTTCCACACAGCCCCATCTGGTTCTCAGCTACGATTTTCTCAGGCGTTCCGGCTCGGAAAGGCAGATTTTGTAGCCTGACAGTCATTTGCACTTCTCAGGAGAGGGGTAGTAACTGGCAACAGTAGCAGGATTTAAAGGGTAATTACGGAATCGATAACGTGAGGCTGCGGCACGGGCTGGCTCAGGGGATGGGAACGCTGTGGGAAGCATCCCAGATAAAGCAGGCCTGCAGGCACACTTCAGTGGGAGCTTAGGATTTGGGCAGGCTGTCTCCACATAATGCTTTCCCGGGATTGCTGCGCTCCGGGTGAAGCACACCTTGCCTTTCCTCTGAGTCCTTAATGCGACATGAAAGAACAGCCGGCCCTGCTCCTTCAGGAGTGAGATGGAGCCAGTGTAGATAAGCCACAAGAACAGAAAAAAAAAAAAAAAAACTGGGAACTAGCAGAGGAAGGTATCCCAAAGAAATGCTGTAGTGAAGGAATTAATTAGATGAGTTTGTCCCCGAGCCTCGATGCGTTGGATCGAGCTGAAGGTATTTTGCAGTGAGGATTTAAACTGCCTGAACAAGTGTGTTAAGGCTTATGGTTGAAATTGGAACTGGACTGCGATTTGGGAGGTCAGGCTTTGATGCCTGGTGCTCTGCAGACCTCCTGTGAGAGCTTTTTACAGAGAAAGGAACGCTGAGGTGGGGTGACTTGTGCTTTTTCATCACCGTGCTCTGAAAAAAAAAAAAAAGTCAGGTTGGAGATGCAAAATGTTTTTCGAGCGTTAATTGTGATCATCAGTGGGAAAATAAGGATGATGCTTTCCCTAAACATTTGTCTAGAGCTCAGGAAGCTTTCTCTTTCCATGCTCATTGTCCAACATCATGCCCTTGGTTTGGCTCCAGGTCAACATGTAATATAGGTAATGACAAATAATGTTGCCTCTTCTAGTGGTAATTGGGACCTGCTAGGAAGAGCAAGACACTTATTTGCAAGCCTGAAGTGAAGAGTGGGGTAGGGACTAAAAACTGCCCCTTTTTCTGTGAACCTGCTGATGCTGAAGCTGGATTTTGATAGGATTAGTTTGGAATCACTGTGCTGCTGCTCTGGTTTGTGTAACAAAAATGCACAAAAGTCGGATACCTTGGGTGTTATTCCCTGTCTCTACAAATCTGGCCCTAATATTGCCTTGATTTATCTTGTGTCTGAATCCCTTTCCTCTGTTACATCTGTTTTATACATTCCCTTTCTGCTGTCTGAAGTCTGCAATAATGTGTGGGTCTTCACCATTAATTTCGTCTGGCTTTTAAGACATTTTAAAGGGATTTTTGTGCTTTGAGTAAGGCAGAGAATACACCTTCTCTGTTAGTTATTGGAGTAGGATTGGGGAGTGAAAATAAGAATTAGGGCAGTTTAGTGTTGGACATTGTGCAGGCAGAGGTGATAACCTGGTCTTGGAAAGTGTGTTGATAAAATATATTTGGAATACAGGAAACATCAGAGTTTTATTCTGGAGGATATCATAAACCACCGATTCGAGATGGGATTTTTCCTGTTTCCAAATGAGTTTTCTGTCAGTGCTGTGAATCCTGGAAGCTGTGAACATCAAGTTCTGTCTCTGACACTTTCTAGAAATAAAGACTCCGCAATTAGGACTTCGCTGACAATTTAACTGATAAGTGAGGCAGAGAAACCGATCCTAGTTCTAAAGCTGCTCTAATATGAGGGGGGAAATAGGTATAAAGTGGTGCTGGAAGGTATTTTTGTGATGCCTTTTCTGTTGACAACACTGGCTGTCAGTCTGGGACTGATCTCTCTGTGGATCTGTTGTGTTCCCCCCTGGCAGACCCAGCCTCTGCTGTCGGAGTGGGGGGCTCATCATTCTTTATAACCTACAAACTGCATCATTTTGCTTGTGGTCCTAAAACGCTAAATAAAACCTCTGTCCTGAAACAGTGCACAGTGCAAGTCAAACTGGAGCTGGGGCACCGAGCCCAACTGAGGAAGAAGCCCACCACGGAGGGGTTCACCCATGACTGGATGGTGTTTGTCCGTGGCCCCGAGCAGTGTGACATCCAGCATTTCGTGGAACGCGTGGTCTTTCGGCTGCATGAGAGCTTCCCAAAGCCCAAGCGAGGTGAGTGGATGCTTGGAGGTGGATTATTAAGTGTCCTCTCTATGAAACAGCATTTTGCAAGTTAAGGTTGTCTCGGGCTGTCACTTTTTTCTTTAAAATAGCCCCTTAAAGAGGAGCGAAATGTCCATTGTGTGCGCTCTGCTTTAACCTCTCCTGGCTGTGTTTGAGGAAGGTCAGGGAGAATGGGACCTTTCTTCTGGTGAAAGGGCAGGAGGTGAGGTGCTTTCGCCTCTTATTCAAGCATTAGTACTTGCAGGTTCTCAACACACGAGTGACAGCAGGAGATAATTCACGTTACAGAATGGGAAAGATGGGTTTGATTTGTTGGAATTCGCCAGCGAAAGCTGGAAGCACATGATCAGTGAGAGATGCTCAAATACTGGGCTTTTATATGGACTAGGATATGTAGAGTTTTGCACTGGTCATGGATTCTTGCACTTCCTAGTCTGGGGTGCCAGTTCAGGTGGATTAACCCAGTGATGCCAAAGGGTGATGGTTCCTTTGCCACTGGCTGTGCAGTCGGTGTGGTTGGGCAGAGTATACCCACTGCAGTGTTATTTTCTGTCTTTGCTTTGTGACTGTGTAGCAAAATGAACGTTCCTCTCGGCATGGGGCAGCGGGAATTCCTGAGGCTGAGGTGGAGGAACAGGAATTGCCCTTTTTGGGGGGGCTGCTCAGAGTTACATCTGTGAGACTGTGTAACTACAGCTGCAGTGTTACTGTTCTAAGAAGTACAAGCTGCCTGTGAGTGTTGCTGTGAAGTACTTTGTAATGCGCTTTTGTAGAAATATTCTGTTAAACAAAGGACAGTCAGGGTGTCTTAGGACAACCTGTGACATGGGTTATTTGTAGGAGTCCACAGTGGAAAGTAACTCAGAGGTGTTCAGCTCACGAGAGTGTGAATATGGAATGTATGTTAATGATGTCTCCTTCAAACTGATGTAGTAAAACTGATGTATGATAAGCAAGTGCAGGACTGATCTGAAAGCTAATTTACGGAATAAAAGTTTTAATCTGCTGGGTTACAGTTCTGTCATCTGGCGTAATTTAATTTATTGCAAAAAACTGTGTTGGGCTAGTACATAAAATCATGGTGTGTTTGGGTTGGAATGGACCTTAAATACCATCTTGTTCCACCCCCTGCCACGGGCAGGGACACCTTCCACTAGCCCAGCTTGCTCCGAGCCCTGTCCAACCCAGCCTTGGACACTTCCAGGGATCCAGGGGCAGCCACAGCTGCTCTGGGCAACCTGTGCCAGGGCCTGCCCACCCTCCCAGGGAAGGATTCCTTCCCAATATCCCACCTAACCCTGCCCTCTGGCAGAGTGAAACCTTGGCCTTTGCTCACACAGTTACTTTATTATCTACATTCACAGAGATATTTTTCCCTAATCCCTGGGTTTTTAATGCTTCCTTAAGCTCCCTCCTAAGCCCAGCATGCCTTTGACCAAGGTGTGTTTGGGTTTTATGGAAATTCTGTGGCATGTGCATCCTATTCCTGGGTTTGTTTGAAGGGTTCCTTCAGCTGGTTCCATCTCACTTGGAGCAGATCCTGGTGCTGAAGGTGGGCTCGTGCTGCTGGCAGATTGCTCCTGGAATCATTGGAATTTGTCAGGATAGAGTGGCAGAGGAACAAAGGCTGCTTGGCAGATAGGCTTGAGATTTCCTGCTGCCATATTGGCACCGCTCTTTGATTTTGGGTTTTTCCCTCTAAATGACAGGGTTCTTATATAAAATTCAAGTTAAAGCAAGTCTAGAGGTTTTTATTATTTTTAGCCATGCCTCTTTCTCACTGTTGAATTTTGAGTGCTGCTTTCCAGCACCTTAATGATGGTAGAAGTGCTTAAAGCTGGGGATGAAACATCTACATTAAAGGAAAATAATTTGTGTGCTTTTAGGTTTGATGTACTGTTTCCTAATCATATTAATTACTCAGAATTCTTATGAGAAACTCCAAAGATTTGCACTGAATTCCTCTAATTACTTAATTGACTTTATTTACATGTATTGTGGTGCATAAATTATATGCAAGTGCATCCGGTTCCTGGGAGGGAGAACATCTCTGTGGGTCTCATGTTTCATCTGGCAGCTGCTGTGTTGTGTTTTTACATCATGGCCAAAGAAATGATCCTGGAATCCTTAGAGTTGGGATATCCCTATCCTGAAATGCAGTGGTGGATAATGGGAAGGATTCAGGAGATGAAGCTACACCAGGTAGCGGGACAGGGGCAGCTGAGGCGCGGAACACACAGATTAATTTCTCTGAAAGCAATTAACTTTTCTAATTGCTGTTGCTGCAGAAAGCAGCTCTGACCTTAGCAGCAAACTGGTTCACCTTCCTCCTCGTGTTTCCTTGTGTGGGGAATAAATAGCAGGGCTCTCACCTGCCCTTCAGGTTTGTGAACCTGGGGGGGAAGCAGCCTGTTACCTCATTATGAGGCTAGAGGGTTGCAGGGGAGTGTTTCGAGTTTAAAATTATCATCTTGCTCACATGTTGTAGTGTTTAAAATTATAAACGTGGGCATCAAAGTCAGTTTTACCTTTCTGTGCTGTTGCACCTTTTGGGTCTTGGCCTTTTCTTGCCAGACAGCTTGAACTGGCAGTTTGCTTTGTTGTGGAACAGCCCAGAAATGTAATTGTATCTCACTGCAAAGGGGGGGGGGGGGGGAGAGTCTCACAGAGCCTCTGGCCTGGAGTGTTTTATGTTTCCTTTCCATGGGAGGAGCTAAGAACAGATTTTCGTGTTCCCAACTAAGCCTGTGGCCACCATCTTACTCTGTGTGGTTCTCTCCACAAAGGTCAGTGTTTTAACTGTGTCCTGAGTTCTCAGGGGCCCGTTTCTCCTCCTGCAGCTCCTTTTTGGCTCACAGGAAGTTGTGCTGAGTTCCAAGCTCACATTTATTTGTTCTCTTTCAGTGTGCAAGGAGCCCCCCTACAAGGTGGAGGAGTCTGGCTACGCTGGCTTCATTATGCCCATTGAAGTGCACTTCAAAAATAAGGTAGAAATCTGATTTCTGGTCTTCTAATTGTTTTGAGCTGTGCCAGAGCCTGAAACTGCCTGACAGAAAGACTCTAAATTATGTGACTGTTTTATGTGTGTGTTTTTTATTAGTCTAATAAATAGAATTTAACTGGGAGTTGGAAGCTCCTGCCAGACTTCAAAAGAAAACTTTTGGCAGAAATGGAATTGCACAGAAAGGTGATATCAGGACAGTGGATGGTCCTAGAGATTCTGAGCAGAGATTGTACCACTTGTAGCTCCTTTCACTTGCAGAATATTAAAGCATTTTAGAATATTTTGTGCACATATGGAAGTAAATAAACATAAACTGCTGATTTGGTAAACATTTGTAAACGCTGTGTTGTCCGTATATGAAAAAAAAATCCACTTTTTAATTTGCAATCTCGTTAAATTAACGGTACAGGTATGAAATGCAAATGTGTGCCTACAAATGTCTAGGACAAGTATTCAGAGCTGTGTTCGAGATATCCTTGTTCTGATTCGCTGCTCTTCCAAAAAGAAAACACTAAACGTTTGAAGCCTTAAGATGCATTGCCAACAAGCATATGAAAGTTAAAATTTGGGATTTATTGCTTGCTTTTAGTCTTAACCACAGAGGTCACGTGCTGCAGGACTTGGAGAAGGTTATGAAAACAGGGAATTGGGCTCTTGTGTTCATATTACCTCAGTTTCGGTCAAATTGTTTTGTTAAACAGGAATAGTGAAGCTTTCTGGGTTTGATTACTGCTTAAATAATAAAATAAAAAAAAATAGTGCTTTTCTTATTATCCCTAAGAGGGAACCTAGATAAAACAAACTCAAAATGTGACCATTGAGCCACATCACTGTAATCTCTGCTCTCACCCACCCCCTCATATATATATATATGTACATATAAAATATATATAATTAATTCTCTTTAGCTTCCCATCATTTTTTCCATGTACCTCCCACAAAAATCTGTCTGTCATTTCCTTCTCACCCCAACCCAGCACAGGGCACTCTCCTGGCAATGTCATTTTGTGAATAATTAGCATTTTTGTTTGTTTGTTTGTTTTTTTGGCCCTACTGCATTGCCCTGACCCCACTTGGAGTAATGAGCCAGATAATGGGACCGAACCACGAGAAGACAAACTGGTCTCCTGAACCTGGGAATGTTTTGCCCACCAGTTATTTTTTGGGGTGGGTAGGGGAAGCCAAAAGGCTGTGAGAAGAAGTGGCAGTCAGAGGGTGAGGGGTGAAAGTTGTTGATAAAAGCAGCTTTTTTGGCAAACACTGAAAACTACGACTTGAGTGCAACCAAAGCCCCTCAAAAGCTTAAAAGTAGTTTGAATTTTAGTGACTTTTTTGAGGTTTTAGGTGGGAATCAGAGAACCCTTGAACGTTCTCATAAGTCAGGTTCAAAATCCTTTACATTCCTGACCAGAAAATGTGAACTTCTCCATGCTGATTCCTTATAAGTGGAGCCTCTAATGACTGTGAGGGGTGAACTGTGTTTTAGTTCTACTCTTACCTTTTATTTTCCTTTCCTTTCTCCACCCAGTCTTTCCTCACACTTTTGTCTTTCACAAACCCCCTGATCTCTCATTTCTATGTTGGATTTTTGTGGGTGCTCTGCCATCTGCATTCCTATGGGGTTTTTTTCCCCTCTGTCCTTTATATCCCTGTGTTCCTGGTGGAATATGGAACTGGCAGCTTTTCTGCCTAGAACTCGGTTTCCCACCCACTGGGGTCATCCCTTCTCATTGTTCCTCCACACACGTGACTGCAGAGTTGTTCCCCTGCTCTGAGCAGAGGGGTGGCTTTTATAAATAAGGGAAATAGGTGGGCTCTGTTCTCCCTGGAAACAATGGAAGGAGCAGTTCATTTGATTTGTTTCTGACGTTTTCGGTCTTCAGAAACAAATGGTAAATAAACGGGAGAATGGGTTTTAGTTTGCACACTTCTTTTAAAATCTACAGATCTTCAAAATGTTCATCTTTGCCTTATTTTTCTAGATCCACGTGTTATGGGGAAGTTCTTTTACCATTTTTAAGCTGATGGACAAATAGCTAATTAAGGAGTTTCAGGCAGCATTAAATTGGGGCAAGCTCTGGTTGAGGGAACAGGTTCCATTTTGCAGCACGTGGTTGGAACAGAGACACCTTCCCAGATTCAGCCATGAAGCTGAGACTGCTGGAAGCTCAGAAGCTGCTGCTGATGGTGGTGATGAGTGACTGGAACCCCCCCCTGGAGCTGTGCCAGGGGGGTTGGGATGGATCTCAGGGAAAGGTTCTTCCCCCAGAGGGTGGTGGGCACTGCCCAGGCTCCCCAGGGCAGTGGGCACGGCCCCAAGGCTGCCAGAGCTCCAGGAGCGTTTGGACAACGCTCTGAGGGACAGGGGGGGATTGTTGAGGTGTCCTGGGCAGGACCAGGAGTTGGTCTGGATGGTCCTTGTGGGTCTTTTCCAACTCACAATATTCCAGGATTCTATATGAGGAATTGGGCTCCTGTATCCACCATTGCCCACATGGAATTTTAAGAGCTATGATTATTTTCAGTAAGTGGAGCCGAAGGAGATGTATCTTCTGCAAAGATAAAAATGCAGAGACTGGGATATAGCAAAAATTAAAAACATAGGGAAAGAGGAGGAGAAGTGGCAAAGGCTTGGGATGCAGGCTGCGTTCTCCTGAATTAAAGAACGTGGTGTTAAAGCACCAAATAAATCAAAGTCCTCAGCGCTTCAAGACCACGTGTTCGCTCTGATCTGCGTAAACCTGTTGACACTGGTGGGGATCAGCTGGTGTGTGTGGAGCAGATATTGTTCTGAATTGATTACAGCATTTGGGGCTCATCCTCAAGCAACTGCCTTCAAGTAGATGTTATGGATTGATCCTGGGACTGGGGAGGAAAGGCTGTGTGGAGGTGGGGGGGGTGTTGTGGCCATATGCTCCCACATTCTGACACGGTTTTGTTGCTGTGTGTCCTGGGTTGAAACCAGAGTTACAGAGGCTTTGGGATTTGTTTATCCGTGCATGTTTAGCTTTGTAAAGGTGAGAAGAGAAAGGATTTAAAGAGGGAGTGAACTAATCTGTGGACGCTGATCTTTGCCGTGGTTGGCTGAAACAGGGTTTTTTTTCCCCACAGTTTAAGCCTCCTTTCTTGGCCATTTCCTTTCCCTGTGCTGATTTGTTATTGGACTGGTAAATCCTGCAGGAACACTGACCTGTGCTTTGTGAAGGAACAGTTTTAAGAATGGTTTTAATGAGCTTCATCAGGGATTTTTTTTTTAAGCAACTTGGCATAAAATTACCCATTAACTCTTTGTGCTGGAGTACCCTCTTATTGTTGTTGTGTGTTTGGGGCAGCAGAGTCGGTTCTCTTGTCTTCCCCCCCCTCCCGAAGCTTTTGGTGCCTTTCTGTCAGACAGGGAAGTGTCAGCAGAGTGTAAAAAAGGTGTAAGAGCCTGTTTTTATCCTCCACCAGTGTCGCTGGCTTGTGTTTGTCCTTCCTGTGCTGCACTTCAGTAGGTGCTTTCTCAGCCCTGGCATTTGGAGCACAGATTGTAAATTGTGGGTATTGCAGTGAGCCTGGGCAGTCCGTGGGGCTGAGTGGGCTGTGTGGCCACAGGACTCATTTAACACCGCCCGAGCCTCCGCTGCCGTAACCGATCCCGAAAAACAAATGGCAGGGGCTCAGCAGGTTGATTGATAAAGCTCTTGAAAGCAGAGTTGACTAATGACAGCAGATCATTTGGACTGGAAATGTTGGCGTGCTATTTTCGTGGTGAAATCCTTTGTGTTCCTGTAACGAGGGCTGCTGTTAGTGGCTTCTGCTGCTCGAATCGATACAAACCGGGTACAACAAATGCTCGGCGCTGTTTTTCTCCTGCTCTTCCCCTTCCCTCTCCCCCTCAATTTCAACAGTCTGGAGGCTTTTTTTTTTTTTTTTTTTCATTGTTGTCTCTAAATAAATCTCTTACAGTGGTACATGTTGTGATCTGGAGGCTGTGATAGAGGTCTGACTTTGGTATTCATCCCCTGTGCCATTTTTTTTTTGCATCCTAATCAAATTAGATCAATCCCCCCCAACAAAGCTAAAGGTCTAGTGTATTTTCACGTTACCCTGATACAAGGCAGATGATATTAATGCAACATGGATAAGATGCTGTATTAAAGTCTCTTTAAAGATGCTACCTCCCAATTTTAGTGCTGGTGATAAAAGCCTTTCCAGGATTTACATAATGGATACACGGAACTTGGGCTTTTCCTATTAGTGAGGAGGAGATAAGCAGAGAGAGCAAAGAAATCCTTTTGATTATTTTTTTTTTTCTCCTTCCAGTGGGGTTCAAGAGAGAAACATGCATATTTTACCCCCTTCTGCAACATTTACAGGGTGTGATACAGAAAACAAACAGAGAAATATTGGAGAAGGGAAAAAACTGTTTGTGTCTCCGAGCAGGAACTCGGTGGAGAGACGTTGTAGGTGGGCTGCACATATGGCAGGGGAGTGAAACAAGATCAGCTACAACTGGTGTCAGGACTGTGCCATCAGGAAGGGATTGGCCTGGGAAGCGCTCCCAGGGAAAGGTTGTGGTAAGAACTGGCCTGGGAAATGCTCCCAGGGAAGGTTTGAGAGCCTGTGTTTGCACGAGACGTTTGATTTTTACACCCCTTGCTGTTCTTGGGGCAGGGTCTGCACAGCTCTGAGGAAAGGAGGAGCAGCTTTAACCTGCTGGGGTTTACTCAGGGTTGCTGAAAGTTGTGGACAGAGGAGCAAAACTTGTCATTTCGTCTGGCCTTCAAGGGAAGCATTTGTTGCTCACATTTTTGCAGGTCTGTTCTGCATTCCCTACCAAACCTGCAGCCCTTTTGTGCTGCTGCTGAGGAGAGAATCTTTTTTTTTTTTCCCACCTTTTCCTGTCAGAAATTTATCTGTATTATCAGTTTAGCCATTCCTTTATCTAAGCAGGGCTTTCCTGGCCAAAACCCCCCTTGGGCTGTGTGTGTTTCAGTAGCCATTCATCCATATGCTGAAAATGTGTGTGTATAAAAATATATATGTGTGTGTGTATACATCTTATATATGTATATATATACATGTATATGTATATATATACATATATATGTATATACATATATATATATACACAGTATATATAAGATGTATATTTAAGAGATATAAAAAGATATATAAAATATATACCTATAGATATCGGTATTAAATATAATATAAAATAAATATTTATATATAAAAATATATATAAATAGATGATTATATAAATTTTTATTATATGAATTTGTAGTGCCTGGCAAGGATGAGTTTGCAAACACGGCAGGTTTACCAGCCAGGCAGCATCATATCACCTATTTGCAAGAGTTAGGAGATTATTAAATGCTTGCCTTGGAGCAGGGAGTACAAAAATATATCAGGAAAACCTAATTTTCAAACGGAGAATTATTCCTGATGCGTGAAGGGTCCAGCCTGCTGTTCCCTGTTATTTCACCAAAGAATCCCAGGAAAGAGAAAGGTGGTTCATGGTCTCCTGAGTGGAACACAAGGCCACTTGCTTCAAAAACTGACTCTTGGGCTATTCACTTTTAAATGTCCCGTCTGGAAGCGGGTGGAGGAGCAGTCAGAGACCAGTCAGACGGGTTGTACGAGCCTGGGAAGGGGGTTTCATTTCTCCAGACGTTCCGGATAAATGACTCTGTCAGGCTGGATCTATGGCAAAAGGGAAGTGGTGTTAGATGTTATAGTTATTGAATAACCATGAGCCTGCTTCCTTGGTGTGCTAGATTTTTTTTTTCTTTTTTCTCTTTTTTTTTTTTTTTTTGGTAGATAATTTTGTTTTATGGCTTTCTAAAAGTGATTTATGAGCTTTATACGCACGCTACCAGTGAAATCCTTTTGATTTGTGTTAAGTGGCAAAGGGCACACCCTGCCTTAAAAAACAAGACAAGGAAATTTTCACAAAGGACTTTGAAAAATTCCTCCTCTTCGGGAAGAAAAAGTGCCAAAAGAACTTTAACCCATTACTTGAGAGCTCCAAGGGAAAATAAAGCAGTTCAGTGCTCTGGTAACAGCACAGTGGCGGTCGCTGCAGACAGGAAGCAGTAAAAATAAAACCTAATGTACCCTGCTTGGGAGATTGGAGGTGGAATAGGGGGATTCACGGGATGAAGGGAAGTTTACAGCAGCTGCAAATAAAAGCTTGGCCCTGGCTTTGTGATCCACACTCTGTAGTTTTACTTCCCTGGCATCCTGAGATTTAAGGGGCAGATGCAAAGGGAGGTTCTAAAAGATCCCCCCCCCCCCTTCCCTGTACCAGCTTAACCATTTCGTGTCCGAATTGACCATTGGATTTCAAATCTGAATGGCTGATACCTGCCAGTTAGAAATGGATGTGATCCATCCTTTTTTAAAGCTCCTCTTGGGAGCAAGGCCCTTCAGGGAGCAACAAAACACCCAGAGGAATTAAGGCCCTCCCCTGTTCAGTTTTACTGGTTGATGTCAAAAGGATTGAGTATCAGAAGGTGGAATCAACTAAGTGTAAATCCTGGATCGTGTGTGTAGCTGCTGCTCAAGCAGGAGCAGGTAAAGTGATGCTGCAGGACTGTCTGGACCAAAGTTTGCAGGGTAAGAAAGCACCTACAGCGGGTTACAGCCCCAAGCAGCAGGATTTGTGGATCCCAGCACGGTATTTAGAAAGGCTTTGAAGTGTGGCACTGTGGATTCAAGCCTGGCTTTCCATTTGAAGTTAGAAGATGGGTAGGTCCGGGTCAATTGAGAGAGATTTCCCTTGGTCTTCCCCTCCCCTTCCCCCCTGTTGATGGTTGTTTGGAGGGAAGAACCTTGTAGGGAGGACCGGATGGATTAAGCTTTGGAGTGGCTTGAGCTGTAATCATTAGCTGGGCAGCGAGGGCAGTAAAGGAAAGAATGTTTATTTGCAGCTTTTTGCTTTGAGACTTTTGTGGTGGCTCTTTTAGGAGTGCTGTAATCTTAACTATTCACTTGTGGGGGGGGGGAGGTTGGTGGGCTCCTCATGGCCTGGGGGATACAAAGGGGATTTTAATGATTAGGGCACTTGGCTGGGGCTCCTTCCCAGGGCAGGAGTTGGAAAAAAAGTCACATTGAAAAACCACCTTGATTTTACAAAAATTCAACAGAGACACAAGAAATATTTGGGTGCTTCTTTGCTTGTGAGTCTATACAAGAAATGGGATACCTGAGGTGAGAGGGAGAGGAATCTGCAGCCTCTGCCCTGCTCAGAAAGCAAACAAATAACAAAGCAGAGCTGGTAATGGGCTGGCGAAACAGCTTTTGACCAAAGCCTGCCTTTGCCAATCTACCCAAGATCTATTTACTCTTGTAAACCAGCAAAAGCATTTCAGAAACCATTATTAGGCCACATTTGGGTTTCTGTTCATCCTTCATTTCAGTTTATTAGACTTTGAGGGACCCTGTGCAGCTGCTGTTTGAGCTGCAGCGAGCGCACACGCAGAGCTCACTAATGATTCTGTTAATGAGGACGGTCATGGAAGGGAGGGAAACCACAGGGCAGTGGATTTTGCAAGGATTTTTTTTCTTTTTCTTCCTATTTGTCTGTTTTAGTGGCCACTGAAGCCTTTAGGGAGACACTGAGCCGTTTTGGGAGGGCCTGGGTTCTTCAGGACTGTCCCAAGAGAGGCTCTGAAGACCCTGGTGTTAATCCGAGACTGGATACCTGTTTGGGGGTTAGGCCTAACCTTGACCCCCTGCCAAGCTCAGGGCGCTGATTTTGATGTAAATCAGGTGTAGTTACCACCCTTTGTATTAGGAGAGGTGTAGTTTGTCCAAGAAATGGGAGCAAGCAGCAGGAATCAGGAATCGGGGGGTTGTCTGAAGCCGTTTGACGCTCCAACCTATTTTCAGCAAATCTAATGGAGCTCAGGCCGGGAGCCTGCGGCGTCTGTTCCCATCCAACAGTGCAACTGCACCAGGAAATCGAGCTGCTGGATGTGAATTCTGGAAAAAAGGCTGCCGTGCAGCTGCTTGATGTTGCGCAGTGAGACGAGGCACGTGGGAAGCATTCACGGAAACGCGGGGAGGGCACCGGCCGGGGCTTTGCGGGAGAGTCCCTCTTGCCACATTGACTTTCCAAGCTGGAATTCCAAGAGAACACCAGGCAGCGTCCTGTGGGTATTTCTAACACATGAGCAGCCTGCAGTATTTGCAAGCTCAGGAGCAGGGGAGGGTGGGGAAAACAAGAAAAGAAAAAAAAAAAAAAAAAGGAGGAGGTTTATTCCATTCTGTGCTGCGGATGCAGCAGGTGGAACAGGGGCAGTGAGGCGCAGATGATCCCCCAACGTGCATACAAAAAAACTCGGCGTTGCTTGGGTGAAAGTGCCCTTGGAAAGTTCAAAAGCCTGGGATATCTTCCCATTCAGCCTCTGCAATATGCATATTGAAAAGGGTTTTGCAGACCGAGTCATCCTTTTTTGCCCGGCGCGTTTTAATCTTCTCTCGTACCCGCAGAGATCCCGGGAGTTCAGAAGTTGTTCCTTCTCTTAAAAAAAAAAAAAAAAAAAAGGGGGATTATGCTTTTCTTAATATTGATACTTTAAAAGTTGCTTCCCAAAGGAGATAGGATTTGAATTTTGGGGAAAAACAGAATAGTGGGTAAAGCTTGTGAATCTGCTTTTTTGGGAAGGCTTGAGAACAGCTTTAAATAGACAATTTTCACTCAGAATTCCTGCCTGTGCGTTGCTTTTGCAGTGGGAAGCTTCGTGCCTGAGTTCCTGCTGAACGCTGCGTTAACTTCAGGCACAAATAGTTTTAATTTCCAGCTCTCTGATCTCATGATGAAAAACTCCAGGAATACAACACTCAGTGGTTTATTTGGGATTTTCAGGAGTGACTGTTTGCATCCTCAGCCTTGCCGTGCTTGCCAAACTCCTTCCGGTCTCCCAAAAGTCTTTCTTGTTTTTAGGAGGAGCCGAAAAAGGTTTGTTTCACGTACGACCTGTTCCTAAATTTGGAGGGAAACCCACCTGTGAACCATCTTCGCTGTGAGAAACTGACTTTCAACAACCCCACCAAGGAATTCAGGCGCAAACTCATTAAGGCTGGAGGGGTAAGTGCCAGAGGGATTTGGGATCTGCTAAAAATGCTTGTTTTGCTCTGAGGTTTCATTTCCAGGCTTCAAGGAGTTTTCTGTGTTCCTCTAAAGGATGACCCAGCCAGCTTTCACTCCTGGTTATACAACTGCAGCCCTCGGAGCAGAACAAACCCCTTTGCTGGTGTGATTGGTGACTCTTCATTTTTCAATTTAAATGTGACCATTAATATCAAAGCACTTAAAATCCCCACTGGAAGTGGAGATCTGCTGTGGATGGTGCAGGCTGACCATCAGTTATCTGGGGCCTTCCTGGTGCCAGGAGCTGGATCAGGACAGAAAAGCTCCAGGAAAGGGAGAGACTTCCAGCCTATTCCTTGCTCATTTTGTTTAGCTTAATAGTTAGTGCTTCCTGGTCAATAAATGTCCTCTAAGCCTGGGATCAGCTACTTGTGGCTTAGATAATAAAAAATTAATGAAAAATATTAGAATATAAAGTGAAAACAGGTGTGGGAGATAAAAATAGCTATAGCCTTGAAGGCACAATAAGATATGGGTTCCTGCAGTGGATGAACTCTTACCTCTGGGGAAGTAACATGCAGTGAGAGACTAAAGGATGATCCTCAAAAAACTACAAATCTGAGCAAATCAATGCAAACCACAAAGTGGATGAAGTTTTTAACCAGCCAGAGGATGTCAAGGCCAGGTTGGACTGGGGCTTGGAGCAACCTGGTCTATTGGAAGGTGTCCCTGAATGAGATGATATTTAAGGTCCCTTCCAACCCAAACCACTCCATAATTCTGACTGTATTCTGAGATCCCCCCTTGTGCAGTAATGCACAATGTTCTGTTCAAGCATTTTATTCAGGATGGTCTCAATTGATGGCAGAATTTTCTTCTGGAAAGGTCAGAAGGTTTGTGGGGAAGATGGTCGGTGGTAGATCTCAGGAGCTGCAGGTATTCCAGCTGTTCCAGTGCTTCTCTGTACTGGGCACAGGGAAAGGTGCTCATTTCTCAGCCCTAGGAGGGCTGGAACGTCATCTGCTTTCTAGGATTTTCACAGTAATTACTGTATGCCTTGTGTACTGAGGTATTTCAACTGTGAACCACTTTTGATGCTGTTTAGTGGAAATTTTCCACAGAATTGTTGTGACAATATAGAGGAGGTGAGAAGGGAATTGTTCCATGGAACTCAGTGCTTGGTGTTAAGACCTTTGTCAAGCAAGAGACACAAGCCCTGCTCTTTTCTTTTTTTTCCCCTGGATTCAGCTTCCCCTAAACCAATGAAGTCTTGCTCGTTCCTTTTAGATTTATCTCACTACCCTTTTTCAGGGTAAAAGCATTTACAGCAGAACACACAGTCCTTGTCCAGAGCTTTATTGCCTTCCCTGTGCTCAGAATATTGGCATTCCCTTTGGGAAAGGCAACTCGATATTGCATGTTGCCTTTCATTTTTGGTGGGTTTAATATGCTCTGTTTGAGGAGTTGCCTTGAAAGTGAGCGTTCCATAGGCAATATCTTTTTATGGCCTTGAAGCAGGGGAGGGGGGGGAAAAAACCCTTCAAAAGATGAGTAATGGTGTGTTAATTGAGCAAGAGGCTTAACATAATCATGTGTTAATAGTTAATAGTCCGTGAGACTTTCCTCAGACATAATTTCTCTCCTCTTTATCCCCAGGTAATGGTAATGCCAGAAGGAGCAGAAACCATTTCAAGGCCAAGTCCTGACTATCCAATGTTACCCACGATACCTCTCTCTGCCTTCTCTGATCCCAAGAAGACCAAACCCTCCCATGGGTCAAAGGTCAGTGCAAGCACACTTTTGGGTCACCCTGAGGTGAAAAAGTCTTTCAGGGCTTGCTGCTGAGAGCTTGTTTAGCAGCTGTTTCTGGCTGCTTCCAATTCTGAAACCTTCTTGTTACTCTGCAGTTTGGCAGCCAATGGTCTGGAACTTGCCATAATTTAGGAGGCTTTTGTTGATGATTTGATAGACTTCTCTCCAGGGAAGTTTTGGAAAGAGAATTACATGTCCAAGACTGGGAATTTTTGGCGAATTGGACCTTCCTCTTGATCTGCTGTAGCAGATGAAGGTGGATGAAATCCTCTCTGATTGTATCGCTGGTGCTGAGGATGAATTGTGTGGATGTTTCACTGCCTGCCATGTCCAGCCCTGCTCTGAGTGCCTGCATTTCTTTGCAGAAAGGCTGAGAGGAGAGTCAGCCCTTCCTCTGTCCTTACAACTGCTCAGGGCAGTGCTGTAAATAAAGAACATGAAATATGCTGCACTTGGTCAGACTGGCGATTTCCAGATTTGATTGTTTGCATCCAGCAGCAGCCAGTTCCTGAGCCTTCTGAAGAACC